TAAACAAATAAGAATCAACACTAATGCCTACATAATTTAGGCAGCAGTGTTCAAAGATGACAGACGGTCGGACGGACAGACGACGGACAGACAGACGGAGAACATTTTGAAAAATAACAACAGGTTTTCGGTATCAAGGACCCACAGTACGAGATTTTGTGTTGAAAAATCTCCGTTTCTGAACGTAGCATTACATAACTTTCTCTGCACTAAGTACGTATACACGTACTATATAAGAAAGTAAAATTTCAAGATTTTAAAGAATCGACCGTAAGAGCTTCATTTCACATTTTGTTGGATCAGACAACATTGTCTAATATTAACTTTTTCATGGGTTTTCCATGGGTTATTTCGTGTTTCCTGGCACTTAGCTAAATGATGGTGGTGAATCCCTTAAGTATAGTGCATGTTTTATCACTAGCGGTTTTCTTTTCCCACTGAATGGCGAGATCCGGCGCAGATTTACTCGTAGGAACATAACCTACAAGAAGGATCCATTATTCGTGAAATCTGACTGCAGAGTGTAATAGAGGGAGTCATTTACTACATATTTTTAGTATTAGGAACCCAGAATACGAGAATTTGTGTAAAAAAATAGCCTTTTTTGCCGCAGCATTATACAACTTTCACTATACTACGCAAATATTACTATTACCGTATATACGTACATATTCGAGATAGTAAAAATGTCGGCGGACCTCACCTTGAGATCATTCTGTCACATGACGTCAGTTAAGCAATGAAGTATTGAGTATGGGAATTCAGTCGGTTCTCGCAGTATGAGAATATGGGAATAATACAATCAAGTATTTGCATTTTTGAGTCAAAATGGAAACGGTTTCATTTTGTTATTTTCCCGTGTCCTAGATTTTTATGTTCCACGTCAGAAGTCTCTTCGTAGAGGTTCCCAATCCTATGATATTATTTCCTGGATTTTTAAGAATCAATAGGAAAAAAACTGTGTGTCCACACTGACGGACTGTGTCCACAACAATCGTAAGTTTGTGCTTCCTTTCTTGGCCTGATATTCGCGAACTTTTTGATACTCTAGAACCAACAAACTCATCAAATTCTTAGGTCTACCAAATCTAGGATAAATCAAAACAACAATGCAGTCTCTTCTTAAAACCCTCTCAAATGTACATACGCAACGAATTTTCCTATTATTTTTTATTTAAATACGCCATATTTACGTTATTTCATTTTTGAGGGGAAACTATGAAACTATGTCTCATCTATTAGCTAGAGCGTCGCCCGGCTGGAAGGTTCAAAAATATCAGGCAACTGTGGATTTCAGGGAAATGTAAGGAATATATCTCATTTTGGTACTATTGTCATATATGTCGATAAAATTACTGCATGTTCCTAGATGTCATTCGAAAACTATTTTTCTATTGCGCAAGGAATAACGTTTTTCTATTGAACATCTTCCAGTGAGCTACGTGGTTGCACATTTCACCAAAATAATGTATTTTTCCGTGCCAGTGAACCACTTCCTTCAATTCTTAGAGCCTATAACTGGGGTCCACACGTTGTAGAATTGTTTGCTACTTCTGAAATGAATACGCATAAATCTGTCACGTTTCGTTCACTTCATGAAGTTTTATCACTTAAAAGAATCTTAAAATAAGTGAACATAATGGTCCGCTCATAACCAGAAGATTGCTAGATCTCCGGAAAGAAATACAAAATGAATACGAACCTTAATATTGGAACAGTTCAAAACTACATCTGAAATAAGACTACGGTTGAATGAAAAAGACGCTAATAATACAAAACTGCTTCACTGCCTTGTTGAAATTGCTGTCATAGAACGTCAGGTGTTTTAAATTTTTATTAGCTGTAATGACTAAAATAATCATTGTTCCCAAAGTAATTATTTCTCTTGTAAAACTTCTTGCTTCACAATACATTAAGATCTGAAGCAACAAATCCACAATGTAATGCACAATCACTGATTTGGTCAGTTACTAATTGTGTCTGTTCTCAAGTCACGTCACTTGCGAATGTAACAAATTGTAGCGCAGGTTTGCATTTTGAAATCTGAGCTAGTTAAGATCTCTAAAATTTACCTTCATGAGTGTCACCCAGAAAAAATTCCCATTGACGTACTAACTTCAATGTTTTTACTAGTTTTTTGAGGACGATTACACCGAAAAACGAAGACTGGCAGACTATATGAACAATAATAACAATGTTCTCTATCGCCGGCTGACTCCCTGAAGCACAGGACCGAGTTGTAGTAAACGGAAAGGAATAATATAATTTCTATAAATTACTTAATAAGATTTTCATAATTTTTGCACTCTTCTTGATTTCAGAGAGAGCGGCAAATGAGAATATTCTCAATATTGTGTATGCCCTAGTTTGGCCAAACATTATACAAGTGACAAAAGTATATATTACGTAGATAAAAGGGAACTTAGTGAGACTTACGGAGACTCAAAGAATACATCTGTAAAGAGACTGGTCCTTTTTGTGTTGGTGTTTTCCACAATAATTATATGTTCCTTATGTAAAGAAGACAAAACAGCCGGACATTCATGGTGCGTCCAGTACTGTAGAAAAAAAAGAATACAAAATGTGTTTGCTTAAAGATCCATCTAGTATACTTCCTATACAAACACAGGTTAAGTAAGAACGTGTTAGAAGTTAATCATACAACTTACTCAAACACTCTTCGATGGAATTGTAGGTGCCGTCTGTCAAGTAGCTTATGAGAGTCTCAGGGAAATAGAATACACTGAGAGGAAAGGAATATGTGTCTCATAGTGGAATAATTCTTTGGCAGGGAACGTGAGAGAAAAGAAAATTGCTTATAATACCTGGTTAATCATCCAAGACAACGAAGACAGAAAAAGGTAGAGTCAAATTAGTAGATAAATTACGAGAAAGGAAGAGTGTCAAGAGACACTGGTGGACTGACTTTAATGGATAATGTTAAAAACGAAGAAATTAAACGTAAAGAGGAAATAGGTTTTAATATAATTGACACCATTGAAGTACAAATTTGCTTGTCACTGAGTCTAATATTACCCCTGGTCGCGATGCGAACATATGCAGAGTTAGCAGAAGAATTAAGAATTACCAGGTTACAAGAAAAGATAAATACATATACAAACTACTGGTGCTACAGGATGGCACAGACTTTCCTGTATTAGGTTTCCAGTTCCGTTGGTCTCGGTTAGCTATTCAAACATGCCACATATTCTTGCCTGCTGCAATCTATGGCCGCCCACAGTATGTTTTCTGACATTTTCTTAATTTTTCGGTTTCCTGACTGTGAGTGGATATATTATTTTAAGATTTTTAAATAATAGTAAAACCTCGTCCCAAATGAATATTTTGTGTGAAAAATTTGGAGCTGTTTTTAAAAAACTGCGCTTTAGCTCTACTGTAAATCTTAAATTTGATGCTCTTCACAGAAAATTTTTGAGTTTTCGAAAACATTAATTTGAAGTCATTTTAAGAGCTTTAACTTGCAAATATAATAGTATTTGCAAATATAACAGCGTTTGAAAAGAAAAGTAGGAAGACCAAAGAAGAGATAGTGTTCTCTAGACAACTTTACCGGAACAAGCTAGGTCAGCCTAATCCATGCTGCTGATGAGAATGATGATGGCCATTGAAGTAAGACGACTAAGAAGGTATTAATACGTGTAAAGACTGAATAAAGAACATTGGCGAAAATACAACATGATACGACCTGAAATGGTAACCCGATACCCATCAAAGATGAGAAAGACCAAGACTTACATGGGAAGTAGTTGAAAAGGCAATGGTAAAGAGAGGTTTGAAGAATGAAGACTACAGTGATAGAGGGAAATGGAGTCACTGTAGGAGGATGTAATTTTACCACCATACTCCTACACAATATCCTAAGCTCTTCCCCGTTCAGTTGCTTATACTTACAAATATTAATATATTAATAATTAATTCAATTGAAAAACCATATTATATGTGATTCTTTCCTTTCAAATCCTGTATAGTTCACACAGTTAAATAAAAATGCCAGATCAGTGATTTCGATGCAGCTCGCTCTCAATATTGGGCAATGCACACATTAGGTTGCTTAGAGCCAAGCTGCACATTTTGTATTCATACAACGCATTTTATTATATTATCTTCCTTCCACATCTGCGACTAAAGCATCATTCGAAATGTATTTATTTGGAGAGATGTGACTATCAAAGGGAGAGAGGTTGAAAGTGACGGAAGGGTATTGACGACTAATCGTATTTCGACTTTCGTATTTCCGGACGCGTATACTGGAATGGTCAATAGTCCCTTAAATGAAATGCATGTTGTTGTTTTTTTAATGCGGGTGGTGGTGATCTTCTCCCGTTGGATGGCTAGATTACCTACGAGAGACGTCATACATTTCGGCTTGCGGGGTTTTTCCCATACATGTATCTCCCAATAGCAGGGCACCCCTCCAGCCGGGACAAGATCAATGCTCTCGACTGATCTCCCGACATGTGTGGTAGTGTGGTTTTTTGTGTGTGTATGTAAGTAAGGATGAAAATAATAGAAGTATGAGGCTCCTGACAGCTGGAATTCTCCTCCAGATAGCTGCTGAATTACACCTATGTAGCTAGAGTCGAAAATCCTGCCACCGTCAGGACTCATACCCTAGGAGGACTCATACCCCTGCCGGTCAGAGGCACTTTAGCGATGCCAGACGACGCACAGAGCCATCTTTGCCGGTCAGCAGTGCATAGAAATGGACCTAGGTATGTAACTAGAGGCGAAAATCCAGTCGTGCCGTCGGGACTGGAACCTTGACGCCCTGAGCCATCTTCGCCGGTGGTATTGACGGCGCTGGTGACTGTAAAGGGGAAGCCGATGGCCTCCCTGGAGAGGAAAGCGAGCGCTGGGGCAAGGCGCCGCATCCGCCGGCAGGCCGGCCATCAGCATGCGGAGCACGCGTGACTGGACCACGCGGCCACGCTCGCTCGCTCGCTTGCTGGCGCGCACGCACGCAGGCGCGCTCGGGATTAATGGCGGCGGCGGCGGCGACGGCGGCGAGTGTAGAGCAATGGCCGCGCGTGACCTCCTCCAGGCGCCGGCTAAACGGGCCAGTGCCGCCCCGCCCCGGCCCCGCCCCGCCCACTCCACCCCAGCCCGCCGCCGCGGCGCCCTCCGCCCCCAGATCACCACGCCGCGCCATGCCGTCTCGCTTTAGCATTTCTGCCATTTTATCAATGGTTTGGCTCCGTTGCAGCTTTCCTTCTTTATTCGCTGCAGTCTAGACATCAAGAATTTATTATTATCATCGTATTACCCTTCTCACTACTGAAACTTCGCTTTAGTGTCCTTGAAATGTACGCCCAAAAGGGGAATTCTCCGTGTAGTAAAGACTTGAAATTTTACTCCATGTGTATATCATATGACAAATCATGTTACTACTGCAATTAAATGTGCTAATCCAATTCCCCTGAATGAAAGGGTTATCTGGAGAAATGTACTGCTTATCACAGGTCGAGAAGCTAACCCAATGCCCTAGCGAAACTCATCCTCTGGTACGGAGTTTCCCTCGCACAGCGCGGAGTAAAATGCTAAGCTTCCCAGAAATGCATGAAGGTGTAACTTCGTAGAATGCAAACGGGACCCCTTTCGCATTTTCTTTATTTTACCACTAATATGCCAACACAAACTTTTAGTTTCAGAAAGCGTTCCTGTAGACACCGGCTCCCGAGTTATCTCTTATTACAAGAACTCGATCTAATATTTTCATGTTAGGTCCATCTTGTAGTTCTTCTCCTTGCCCTTTTCTGAATAAATGAAAAAATATATTATCTACGGCTTCTCTCTACTGACAAAGCGTTGCAGGTTCTATGATTTTCTTCTTGTTTGCTTCATTTTTACGAAGTGGTTGTCATTTCTAGTTTCTGCCATCATTTCATCTCGTGTGCTTCTTCCCCCAGCGTACTTCGAAACACCTAAATCTTGAGGCTGGTCGGTTTTCTTGGAGGAAAGAGTGCAGAGGTTCTCGGCTGACTGCAGTCGCACCCGCTCCGAGTTCCAAGAGCGGGGACTAGCCTTAGGCAAGGCCATAAGCTGAGAGTGGCATTTTCTTAGCGTCTGTTCTTTGCGCCGCTTCGCGTGTGTTCGTGGCGGGCGCGAGTGCGCGAAAGGCGGCGTCGTGCGGGGGCGTGGCGGGGCGCAGCGGAGAGGGCCTAGCGGTCTGCCCGGGCCTCCCCGAGACCCCATTCGGCGTTCGCCCCGTTCCGGTTCAACGCTGCCCCCGCCCCCGAATGTAGCGCAGCGCGTCGGGCCGTGAGGAAGGTCCGCGATGGCTCCGGACGCTCACATCGGCCCCGAGTTGGAGGATTTTGCCAGGGCCAACGGTAAAGTCTTGAAGTCGAACGAAGCTGATTCGTAATTTCATTGATTACTAATGATTCCGGGCGCGCCAACGTATAAGGTCGTTCGTCCCGTAAGTGTAGTGCAAGTTTTTACTCGGGAGGTGGCAGTGATCTTGCCGCCGCTGGATGGCGAGATCCAGTGACGACCTACCGTTGCCTAGCAGGATTTTCCCAACCAGATATCTCTCACCAGCACGCCACCGCTCACGCCCGGACTTGCTCTAAGCTGCCGACCAGTCTTCCAGCATATGTGGTAGTGTAATGCTAGTAAGTGTGTGTAAGGAATGAGGATAGGACAAGGAACGGGAAGAATAAATCCGTGGCCCGTTTGGTAGGGTACTACTCCAGCATTTGCAGGGTATTGATCTGAGAACTCACGAAAACTATCGATCAGAGCAGCCGGCCACTAGAATTCTCCTCCAGATCGAACGAAGCAATTCCTTTTATTTCTCTCATTTCATTGATTCCTGCAAACAGCCACGATCATTTTAACGGAACTAACTGAATGTTTGTTGTCACTTTCTGGAAGGGGCTAAGGCGACGGCGTCGCTGTGACCAGGCAAAACTTGCGTCGGCAACATGTTTACAAAGGGATTGAAATATAGTACATAACACCCCGGTAGTCGCGGCTCTTCTTGTAAATGGGTCCGCATCCACTAGAGTTTCTTATCTGTTTTACCCGTTCAGTTTTAACCGTTCAGGTAAACACGTATGTGACCACAACTTGGTAAAACAGTCACGAATGAAACCCTTCGCCTCCTGAATTTACCTCGCTTTCTTCAGGTTTCGGCATCGTCGTTGCCGTCTATTCTCAAGGTTTGGGCTCGCAACCTTCTATAGACCTCTGCAGAACATACCTCTGCAGAATAATTAGCAATGTGCCCTCGTGTAGTCTTTTGCGACACTTGACTCCAAAGACGTCCAAAGTCTTGGAGGGCGTGGCACATTCAGTTGTCAGCCGTTGGTATGAGGACATGTGATACTATAAAAATGAACGAGTGAAACAGGGTGTCTGTGGGCCCCTTTTGGATACGGTTAATCATGAGACGTAGGAACACAAAACGGTAAAACTGACGTGTATTACAAGCTTAAAGGAATAAAGCACCATTGATATTTTGCGTATCGTTTTAATACATTGTAAGTAGTTTGAACGCTCTTCTGGGATAAACGTGTTGAAGGTGAACGATTTACATTGAAAATAGTTTAAACGGGCTTTATTAATGTTTTACTATACAAAATGTTTATATTTTGTCAACTTTCTGAAAAATTCGTTCTAAAATTGTAAAAATTAGAATATGGTCTCTGTTATTCTTACAATCAGCTTTCAATTTTATGATATTCTTCTGAGCATTTGCTCTGAACAACGAAATACAGGAAAGGAAGGTGCCACAAAGCATGTTCGGTGGCTGCAACTTTATCTCCAAGGACATTTTTGGATCTATCTAAGTACTGGTAGGAATGAAATAAATTGAAAAGAAAACTTGAAGAAGCTCTCATTCCATATTTTTAGTGCGACTATTAAATATTTTCATTAATATCACGTGTATTCCTGAAAAGGACCTCCATGAAATTAGCGAATCGTAACATTGATAATACAGCTGAAACAGACACGAAAAAGAAGGTACAAAGACAAACTCTGAAGAATATAAGCCGTTGGCAAACAAACATTTGTTTTTCTTTCAGGTGTGCTTTTCGCAAGGAGTTTAATCGCAAGTTTAATTCAATCGATACTGAGTTTTAGAACAATGTTCTCATTTAGACAATCATCATTGGGTGAGAATAATTTGGAGAAGTGGGAGAAGTGAGGGTTAAAGTTGGTCCAAAAGTGACCTAGCAAATGCAGACACGTATTCCTGTCGGGGGTTTCCTCAACTTGGAAGTGGAGAGTTTATGAAATTAAGGAGAATTTGAGATGAACGATTGTGTAGAGCTCAAGCTCGTGATGAAGTTGAGAGTTCGAGCTGATGATGATGATGAGTAAAAACCAAGTTGCTTTGGTAATAATCATTAGGTAACAATTTTGACAGGTCTGAAGTTTTTGGATGTTATATTTGGTTGCTAAACCCCAGATTGGACTTGCCTAAATGAGCATGCGTCTCATTATAGTATTAGGATACCAGTAGGAAATTATAAGAGATAAGATCGACGTGTATTTGGGAAGAATTAAGTTGTTTGTGTGGCTTAAGGCATGTCTATGTTGGATGTGTGGTTTCCAGCTAAGATAGCGACCAATGAGGCCTCAGAGGTATTTGTCTCGAATGTTAGAGGTCAAGCATAGGATGGGCCATAGCGGCCTCGGCTCGAAAGGTCGCGGTTTCGAATTCCGCCTCGGACATGGATGGGTCGAATTCCGCCTCGGGTGCGCTCTGTAGGCGGCAGTGATATGAGGACTAGCATTGTCTCGTTTACATAAGGCATGGAAATGTGCGTTTACGAACGCAAGAACTATTAGGACCTCATGAGCTTAGCGTACGGTGGGGCCTGCCAACAATTCACTTTGACTTTGCTTTGACGTTGCAAACTATCAACATCTCATCCCACACCATCACGCCAGGCTGGCTCCTCACTCGTCCTCTTGCCATCACTCTTGGTGATCGTTGCCACCAAGGTATAAGCGGGACTCGTCACTGAAGATGCCCTTTGTCAGGGTGCATGTCTCATGGCCGGCTCATGCACCAGACAAGTTTAGCGACACTGCTGTGTGAGTGATAGGTGCTGAAGCGATCGACATGCAGCGTCCAACCGCCTCCCAATAGTCCTGAAACTGTCAGAATGTAGCAGAGCAGGACCCACTTCCCTATGCAACCTATCGTGCGTTATGGATAATCCGTCAGTCCTCGCTCCTCGTGGTGCGTGGCATGATCTTACATGCCGTGTTTTCTTCTATTCGTTGCCGCCGACAGCGGGCGATGGAGATGACTGCACGACCGGCGTGGCACGCAATACAGTGACAGGACCGACCAGCTTTCCACAGCCCCAAGATGAGGCCCCTCTTGAACGTATTTAACAGCAACTTGCAGCCGAATGCACTACCTACGCTATAGTGAATATGCTGGTGATGTTCTGAACACCCCCGGTAACGCTCTATCCGATGTCGCAAAGGTCGACAATGCCGTTTGGGGCTCTCGTATCTCGGCCAGTGGATCAGAATGTCACACTCTACCTCCAGTCATCTACTGCGCCGCTATCGGTGAAAAAGAAATACTATTTTTTTATATGACGATGTGTAACTGAAGATTTCTACATTCTAAGAACAGTCGACCATCGCTCGGGATCCTACCTGGAGAGCGCTGGGAGTAAGACCAGGAAAACATTAAAATTCTGATTTTAATTAGCCAATATGAATCGGAATGTATATGTAAAATTTGTAAGAACGACCAATAGTGACAAGTTTCCAGACTTACCCTCACCAAAAGACATCTAATCAGCATGGATCTGATATGCATCATCTGGTGATGAACAAAATATATATGTTTATGCAAAAACTAAATAATAACTAGTGGTGCCGTAGAATGGCGCAGGCTTTCGCATATTAGTTTTCTATTACCGTTGGTCTCGGCTAGATATTCGGATATGCCATATACTTACCTGCTGCCATCTATCGCCGCCAGTTTTTCGGTTTCCTAATAGTAGAACGGAAATATTTATCATAAGAATATTAAACAGTAAAATCTCGTCCTAAACGAGCCATTTTAAGACAAAGATGCTTAAGCGGTACTGTAAATGAGAAATTTGAAGCTCTTTTTTACACAAAATGTTTGCGTTTTCGAGAAACTTCATTTGAAGTCATTTGAAGCACATTCACTCACAAATGCTATAGTTTTTACAAATCGCTGGAA